GTCATGCACTCACACATGCTTATGCTTAGGGGGTGTTTGGATGAATGTTATAACTTGATCACCTCATCGTTACGATATGAAAACGTAATAATTTTGGACGTGTTCAACAAAACTAACTAGAAGCTGAAAATTACCTAAAAACTTTTAAAACATGTAACATTACATAAAATTACTTATCTAAATCACGCTATTGATTTACAAAAAAAGGTAATTAAGTAAATTTGCAAAATTATAAAAGAGCTCCTAAGGCGTAATTAAGTTTTTTTTTGAAGTAGGTTTTGGATTAAGTAGGTTTTGCAAATTTACTTAATTACCTTAATTACCTTTTTTTGAAAATAGAAGCTCCTAAGGCGTAATTTAGCGTGATTTAGATAAGTAGAAGCTCCTAAGGCGTAATTAAGTTTTTTTTTTTAATATATATATATATATATATATATATATATATATATATATATATATATATATATATATATATATATATATATATATATATATATATATATATATATATATAGGTTCAGATTCATTTGAAATCATTCTAATTTTGTGAGATCGTAAAACCAAATCTAAAACTAATTTTAAAATGCAAAATAAATGGAAAAATCTAAAAATTCTTTTTTTAAATATTCTTTTCGGAACTTGAATTAACTAAAAAAAAAAATTCCATTTTTTTTGAAAAATACGTGAAATATTCTAATAGAATATTACACTGTACATAATCTAAAAAATAATTTTAAAATGCAAAATAAATGGTAAAATCCAAAAATTCTTTTTTTAAATATTATTTTCGGAACTTGAATATACTAAAAAAAAAATACGTCTTACGGTCTCAAAATTAGGCCGTTTCACATTAATCTAACCCTATATATATATATATATATATATATATATATATATATATATATATATATATATATATATATATATATATATATATATATATATATATATATATATATATATATATATTAAAAACTAAAAGCTCAAAAAAAAAAAAAAAAAAAAAAAAAAAAAAAAAAAAAACTAAAACTGTATGCTGAATACGTCCGTCTTATTATTAAACCTTTAAAAGTATATAAGAATGAAAATTTGAGGTCCTTTTTTTATTTATTAATTTTTCGTATAACTCCACTTTGTGGTAACTAATTATTTAAGGGTTTATCGAATAAAAGACACAGTTTTTTGACATTTTCTAGATAGACCTATTCTTTTTTAATGATCTCAATAAAGAATACTGATCTAACTTTTCATTTTGTATTTTTGTACAATTTATAATTTTTTCACCAAGTAAAAATCTAGTATTTTCTGAAAAAGTGATCAAAATATCGTCCTTTATGCAAATAAACATAAAATGTCACTAGTATAAAAATACACAACATTTCTCCTTTTTTTTTTTTTTTCAGAAAAAAACATTTTACCGGATGAAAAAAATATTGTCTTATGCAATTAACCAATTATTTAATATCCTTTAATCAATTCCAAAATACATATACAAAATGCTGGAATGGGATTTCTGGTGAATTTTTAACTTCATTTAGAATTAAAAATAGATTATATTTTATCTTTAATATGGCAATTGAAACAAAACAAATTTCATTAATCATGATGTTTATATGTATATCGGACACCTTAGACTTAAAAACAAAAAAGAATAGGTTAAATGTCATGATCCAACTACTAGCTTCATTAATCATGTTCATGATGTTTATAACTTCATATGTAATCCAAGAAAAAGACTTAACTCCCACTAATCCGCGACTAATACCTTATTTATGTATCTCTTATGATAATAACTATATGTCGACATGACAAAATATTTGGCTATTTTTATGCTTATATATATATATATATTATATATAATAATATATATATATATATATATATATATATATATATATATATATATATATATATATATATACTAGCCGTCTACCCGCGCAAAGCGGCGGGGCACGTGAGTTCTTTCGGTGATATGTTTCCATTACAAAATTGTTATGTTAAAAAAAAGTACATGTTGAAGACAATATAATCAAACTATGGTGTTATTTGTTACATCATGCATCAAATAACCAATAAAAAGCAACCAGTCAAGACGACACAAAATATTAATCGTGCAATACTTCTTTATACACCACATTTGCTGTATAAACCCCATCACCTTTTGAATTTTCGTTAGGCTTTACTAATACTTTTGTATTGCAACGTGAAACCCCTCTGGACAATGCAACATAAAGTTGTCCATGCGAGAATACTGGTTCTGGAAGATAGATACCTACATATGGAATTGTTTGTCCCTGAGCTTTATTGATTGTCATTGCAAAGCACAATCGAATAGGAAACTGTTTCTCATTAGAGGATCGATGGTTGCTACTAATTGCTTGTAACTGGTATTGGTTTCATATCGATGGATGTGGATTCGCATATGAAATCAATTGTGTTCGCATCTATGAAATCAGTTCGCATATGACATCAATTGAGTTCGCATTTGGTTTTGTGGGTCAAAACAGTTCGCATAAGAAGTTCACGATTTGTTTGAGGTTAATTGATTTTGATTTCGCAAGCTTGGAGTCGGAGATCTGGATTGTGTTCGCATCTATAGAATGCGAGGAGAATTTAATGGTGATATTCAGTTCGCATTTGGTGACACAAGTACGTGGTTGATGATTTTTGGTTGGTTCGCATTTGAAATTAGTGGGTTTCGCATTTGGCTTCGTATCTGGGTTTCTCAAACAACTGAAATGCGAATATGAGACAATTGATTAATTTCTCAGTTAATGCGATGAAATGCGAATGAACTCAAAGACGGATGGATGCAAGATGCGAAGAATTTGAATGAAAATGCGAAGTTTTTAATGTATAAATGCGAATTGGGGAAGAAAGCTTAGAGTTTCGCATTTGGCACCTGATCTTTTCAAGAAATAATATAAGTGGTCCAACTTCGCAAAATGGGGTCATTTAATCAGAAAATCGATCATTCTTCAAATATGACATTTAATCAGAAAATCGATCTAAAAATGAGACATTTGGTGTTTATCGATTTTTCAGGGTCGACGGGTTGTATGAAAAGCGAAGGCTGAGTAATTGAAAATTAGAGGATCGATGGTTGTTGCTACTAATTGCTTGTAACTGGTATTGGTTTCATATCGATGGATGTGGATTCGCATATGAAATCAATTGTGTTCGCATCTATGAAATCAGTTCGCATATGACATCAATTGAGTTCGCATTTGGTTTTGTGGGTCAAAACAGTTCGCATAAGAAGTTCACGATTTGTTTGAGGTTAATTGATTTTGATTTCGCAAGCTTGGAGTCGGAGATCTGGATTGTGTTCGCATCTATGGAATGCGAGGAGAATTTAATGGTGATATTCAGTTCGCATTTGGTGACACAAGTACGTGGTTGATGATTTTTGGTTGGTTCGCATTTGAAATCAGTGGGTTTCGCATTTGGGTTCGTATCTGGGTTTCTCAAACAACTGAAATGCGAATATGAGACAACTGATTAATTTCTCAGTTAATGCGATGAAATGCGAATGAACTCAAAGACGGATGGATGCAAGATGCGAAGAATTTGAATGAAAATGCGAAGTTTTTAATGTATAAATGCGAATTGGGGAAGAAAGCTTAGAGTTTCGCATTTGGCACCTGATCTTTTCAAGAAATAATATAAGTGGTCCAACTTCGCAAAATGGGGTCATAAAAAGACAAAAGTGCAGAATTTTCATTTCGCATCCCTGTAGTCTTCGCAAAATGGAAAATTTTACCCAGTTTCGCATTTGGGGTAAATTTTTTTGAGAAATTGGAATATTTTCAAACTTTTTTTCTTAAAAAAAACACATTGTCTTCGTCTAAGAGAGGGAGAAAAACGATTAGGGTTTATAAGGGAAATACTTCATGGCAGTGGGATTTATAGCAGGGTTTATAAGGTGGAGAGAACAAACACACGTCTGCTATGAGATATTTTAATCAGCTGCAAATGCAACATTTAAAGGATATTTGTTGAAGCGTATTAGGATGAAAAGGTTTTAAATTTTGAATGACCATGAAATTAGGATTTTGCTGAGAAATATAAGGAATCAAAACAAATTTAAAATTTAATATTATTTTATTAATGGTTGTTTGTAATATTAGCTTAATCGTTTGTACGTCTTAAAAAAATAATATTATTATATTCAATCTATTTATAGAAATAGTTAGATTTCTTTTATAAGTAGTAAAGATATATATATTGTATTTATCATTAATATTACGAGTGTGGATTAGAGACTTTTTGGTTATCTTTAACTTTCAGAATTCAAATAATGTTTTGAAAAAGTTAAAATTATAGAGTTGTAAATTGTAATGTCGACATGGACAGGGCCGAAATCTTTGTAGTAAAAGGTCACGTGAAATTTAAGTGGCTTTCGACTTTTTTTCACCAACCGTTTATTAAAAAAACAATCAATTCTTGACGTACTTTTTTTCATCAACCATTTATTTAAAAAAACAATTAATTATTATACATCAACATTTCATTGTTTTGTTATGATTTGTACTTATTGGTTATAATTTAGGGCCCCATAATTTACACTTTAGAATTGACGTAATCACTACAAAGAAAAATGCTAATAGTGACGAAAATGATATAGTCACTAAATGATTCCGTGACCAAAACTTTGGTTATCACTTTTCGACCCAGGTTTATCACTAACCTGATTAGAGACCAATACATGTAAGTGATCCCTAAATAATAAGTATTGTGACTAAACTACATATTTGTGATGACTCATTCTATTAAGTCACTAATCATTAAAATAGTCACTATTATCTACAATTAATGACCATAAAAAAGTCATTGATTATGATTACTCTGATAATTACTATAGTGACCAAATGCATCGTCATTAAGTATTTATTGTTAGAGACCAAAAAATGGCCTCTAATAAGAGAAATACGAGAAAAGATGATAGTTATCAAGTTCCATGAACCAACAATTTAGAGAAATAGACAAAATTAAAAAAAATGGTATCTATGGTTTACCAAAAGTTACAAAGTTAGTCTCTGCTAATTTTTTTTAATGCAAATGGTCATTGTGGTTTTTTACTGCACACTTGTATTGAAGAAGTATACGGTGTAGGTAGAAAAGGTTTGAGTTTGGACAAACATTCATGGAACAAGCTAGTAACAACTATTAAGGAAAAATATGTCGTTGATTTGACTCAAAGACAATTAAAAAACACCCATGACAATCTTAAAGCCAAATAGACAAGGTGGTTAAACTTGAAAAAAATCTGGCAACCTTAATAATCCTCAAAGAAACACTTTTAACTTAACAAATGAGGAGTGAGAGGACTTTAAAAGGTACACACACACCCACACACACATATATATATATAGTTGGAAAATATTCTTATACTACTTTTGTTACATTGATTGGGTGTAGGGACATTCGAAAGTCGCTTCTTTGAAAACTGTCCCATTGGTGTTCCCAGAACTTTGTGCAGAACTCTTTGATGGAAATAGTGCCTTTGGTAATCTCAAATATGCCACATCCCAAACACCATCGGGACATGGATCATTTTCCTGCCATGTCGCACCACTACAACTTATGGACACCCCTTCTATTAACATAAATGAGGATGATTACTTTTCCAATCATACTAGTGAGCCTTTTACTCAACCATCACCTTCTTCTCCTTCACCTTCTGCTACTTCACCTTCTGGTAACCCCAACAAAAGGCCTAAACCCTCAACTCCTCGACCTCGAGCTCCTAGTATCTCACCTGATCCACCTTTTAGTACCTCATCTAAAGCTTCTATTCCTGCTCACGATTTAGCACTACATATGCGAAAAGATCTACGACATTTGACTCAACGACCTACAATTGCTCAATGTTTAGAGAAGTTATAGTTGCTTGAGTTAGGCCCAGTGTACCCTCTACAATTTGCTGCTAATCACATTTATGGAGGGACCATGAATATAAGAGAGATATGGGTAAATTTTCCCAATGATCCACATATATTAAGAGGATGGATCAGATGACTGGTACAAGTTTAGGAGGTTTAAAGGATGGAAATATTATCCGTTAAGTTTACATATTTGAGTTGTTTAAGTTTTAATTGCATGTGTTGGAACTATGTGGTTATGTTTTTTGGTTTTTTGGCACTTGAATGTTATTTATGGTATTTGGTACTTGAATTTTATGTTATTTGGTACTTGAGTTTTATGTTTTGTTATTTGGTACTTGAGTTTTATGTTTTTTTATTTGGTACTTGTGTTGATTAATAGGTTCCTAATGGATCACGACAAAAAATACTTCTCATAATTCTAGTGTACTTGTACGTCCACTACTTTTGGAAGAAGGGTGTGAAACGAGTGCATGACTACGATTCGAAAATGACAAAACATGAATTTATGTTAGAGTTACTTCACCGTAATCCTCTACAATGTGTTGAAGTACTATGCATGTCGCGTGAATCATTTGTCCGACTATGTGCTCATCTTAGAGTAAATTACGCATTAAAGGATAGAAAACATGTATCACTTGAGGAAAAGATGGCTATGTTTTTGATGATGATCGGTCATAATTAACGTTATATGATTATTAAATGAAGATTTAAACACTCAAAGCAAACAATTCATAAATGTTTTCATGAAGTGATGGACAAAATGCTGATTTTTCGCACATGACATTATAGTACCAACTTTTTTAAATCTGAATCCAAACATTCCGGGACATAATAAGAGGCTACGACGGGTTTTCAAAGCAGAAGTTAGTGCACTTGATGACACTTTGATACATGTTGTTGTCCCTGCAAACAATCAATATTTATACAAAAGTATGGGAAAAAGCGATTGTTACCAAAAATATTGGTGATTTGTGACTTCAACATGATGTTTACTTTTTTTTTGTGGCCGATTGGGAAGGGATATCACATGATTCTAGAATATTATCAGAAGCATTAGCAAACCCGCATGCACCATTCCCATTTCCACCAACATGTAAGTTTATGGTTATTTAAATAGTTTTTATCTTAGTTTGAAAACTGAATGACTTTTTTTTTTTTTTTTTTTTTTTTTTTTTTTTTTTTTTGCATTTTTACAGATAAATATTATTCTTGTGATGCCACCTATGCAAACATTCGAGGTTTTATGACATCATATCGTAATGTGAGCTATTGGATTGGAGATTTCCGTCGAAGTTATGCACTAACCAATAAAGAAAAATCTAACCATGCACACATGAAACTTCAGAATGTCATTGAGCATGCTTTTGGTGTCTAAAAAACACGATTTCCTATATTGAAGATAATGTCACCATTCTCTTTGGTTACACAATGAAAGATTACCCTTGCATGTTTCGTGCTTCATAACTTTATAAGAATAGAGGGACTACGTGATTAATATTTCGCATGATATGATGAACCAAATGTCTCATTTCAGAATAACAATGTAGCTGTTGATGATGATGAAGATGAGATTCCAACACATCGTACTGCAGCAGATCGTGAACATATGACCCAGTCATGGGATTTGAGTGCCGAGTAATTGATGCAAAATTTGGAATGAGAATTATTAAATTTTGGTTGTATGAATTTTATTTCAAAATTTTATTGTAAGACTAATTTGGTTGTATGAATTTTATTTCAATGTTTTAAGACTAGAATTATAAAAAATTTCGCATTGAAAAACTATTTTTAGTTTATTAAATTATTTTTTCTAATATTTGCAACAGCCTGCAAATGTTAAAAAACAAACACGCTTTTTATTACAGTATGCAACTGTTTGATCCACTTCTGCTGCTGCAGAGGACTATAGAGGTGGTCCACAAACTTTATTAATTTTTGCTTCAAAAAAAAAACAACACCTAATGGTCTTCCACGAAAACTGTTCCTCGATTTTAGATTCAGTTTAAATTCCCTCCATCCTCCCACTCAAATTTTAGGGGCCTATTAGTGATATACATTTACGGAAATTATAAATATAACTAAAATGCAACTTTGTGGCTGTGAGATAAAGTTACTACTGCTAATATTACAAGTTGTAGTGCACAATGCACAAACTTGTCAATACATAAAGTACAACTTTAATCCTCAACTTTGTATAATACATCACTTTCAATCCTTTTATTTTATAAAATAATATTTTTCATCATTTTACTTTTTAAAATCACTTTCACCCCCTTCACTTTCAACCTAAGTAGTTATCGCGGTCGAACTTTCAATAGCGGTCACATGTCTCTATTTGAAATCGTGGCGTTGGTATAATGGTTTTTTAATATTATGTGTAATTTATATTATATATTTATACAAAGTTTATATATATTAGAGTATTAATATTATATAGAATTCATATTATAAAAAGTCATATAAGAACATCATATAAATCATATATATAATATTCTAATATAGTTATATAGAAACTAAAAAGTGTCAAAGTGTCATTGCAACTCAAGTCGTTCATGGTTTCTAAGTACAGAAAGAGGCGAGAAAAAGAAGTTGTCATTTGTTGTTTTGTAGTTTGTAATTAATTAGATTTATTATTTGGACTTATTAAAACAAAAGTGTTGTGGACAAATTAGAAAATACAGATTTAATATTGAAATAGCCTACAATTGGTTTTTTCTTTGTAAAAGTAGCCCAATGTGTATGAAGTTTTAAAAGCGTGTGTAACGTTGCTATAATGCTGATGGAATTCGCGGTAAATAGCGGTCAATAGCGCCAATAATAGCGCCACGACTATTCAAAAACACTATTTCAAATAGTGGCTCAATAATACCGCAAAACGCTATAACGCTACTATAGCACCACTATAGTGCGCTATTGATAACATAGCTTTCACCTTTGTAAAATATCATTTTATAACATTTGCATTTCAAGTATTTTTTCTTTTTGCCCTTAGCCTTAAAACTCTAGCATTTTTGTCCCTAGCCGAGTATGCTAGGCGTACTGGCTCGATAACTTGGTCATGGAGGCACTCGCGTACGTGGGGCATACGTTGAAGTACACAGGACGTACGGTCACCTGGGGTAAACCCTAATTTTTTGGGGTTGTGCCCTATTTAATCACCTTAAGTTGCTCTTGAACCTTCTTATGACCAAACTTCACCTCTGAAAACCATGAGAACGAAACCCTAATTTCCATTTGAGTGTTTTGAGCTTGGAAGTGAGAGTGTTTTTGGTGATCTTGAAGGAAGAGGACCTTGCATTGGTATGGTTAGAGTTTGTGGATCCAGAATCATCACCAGATTGGAAACCTTTTGGAGGTATAAAGCTCTTAACTTGATGGTTCATTATGTTAGATCTAGTTAGGGCTTTTTTTATGCTTTTTATGGTCCTTTAAGTCATACTTGAGAGCATGATCTACTCCAGAAGATAGTGATGGTAGATCTTAGCATTTTTTAGGCCCCTTATGCATAAAAATGCAATCTTCATGTGTTATATTGGACCATGCATGAGTTAGGGTTCTTATTATGATTTTTATTGGTCAAAATCAAGTATTGGGTCCCATTAAGACATGAAAAGGAGTAAAGTTGCCAACTCTATGTGTTAAGACATAATTTAGGATCAGATCTGAGAAGTGGACTTAGTGGCTTAACCAATTAAGCACTTAATGGAAAGTTGGGCTTGCTGTAGAGTACGTTGAGCGTACCCAGCTTGTATGCAACGCGTATTGGTGAAGGGTGGTGTACGCAGTGCGTACTCAACAGCTTTTTACTTTCGTTTACTTTTGTGATTTGGGCCACAATTGGACAATTAGGGTTTTGGGCCTTGTTGGGTCTTTAGTCTTTCTTACTGTGGGCCATTGTTAGGATTTGGGCTCATAATGAGCTTTTGCATATCATTTAGGAATTTGGGCCATATTAGGCTTTTGGTGCCATTGGGTTGGACCTCAGTTAAGACTAGATAAATTTCGAAGGTTAGGTTTTAAATCTATTGTGCAACTCTTATTTGAATCCAATCGTTGTAGCTTGAGACCTTTCATTCGAAGAATTATCTGGTGCCAGTGATATGTAATTGTATTCGTGACTTAGTTACAGGGTGTTGGGGGAGTTGTTTCAGCAACTGATGGTAGAGAGTGGTGTGGTGGTTACCCTAGAAAACCTAGGAGGAGATTTGGTGTTGAGAGCCTTGTCTTGTTAAGGCTTATTTGGATTGATAAGGGAGTGACTTGGAGGATTTGAAGTGATACTTGAGGAAAGTACGGATAGATGTGGAAGGTAGTATGGGACCGTACTACTGAAAGCAGAGGATCCGTACTCGCGTCAAGGAAATTCACGATGATACCAGGAAGTTTGTAGAATGTGGGATTCTTTGAGTATATTCTGATGGTTTATATGGTTTATTTTTAGTATGGTGCTCACTTGAGGAGGTACTGGTAGCGGCTCTGGTGCCGATGATAGTTCAGGTTTGGGCTCTGGAGCCGGGTTTATGGATGATCCGATGTAGGAGTTTATTTCAGCAGAGATTACCCGCATCATTCTTGAGCAGACTCTTGTGATCTTTGGCACAGTTAAGGTGGGTATTCTGGAGTTTCTAGATGAGTGCTTGAGCGCTTTTCATTCTGATATGGTGGCAATGATGGGAGCTCGCACTTTAACTTTTCGTGAGTTCCAGGCATGTGGGGGCTCCAGAGTTATTCGGGAAGAAGGACCCGATTGTGAGCATGCGTTGGTTAGAGAATGTCACGAAAGCCTTTTATATTAGTGGTTTCCCCGAAGGGGCGAAGTTCAGACTTGCATCATGTCTTATGAAAGAAAAAGCTCGAGAATAGTGGGAAGAGATTGGACATGCCTTGGGAGGCGAAATGGTTAAGTCGATGACTTGGGAGGATTTTGTGTTGAGGTTTTGGGATGAGTTTGCACCTGTGATTGAGGTCCAACAGTTGGCGAGGGAGTTTCAGGACCTTCGC